CCTCTCTTGCGCAGAGAGAAACAGAGATCCTAGGGGAATAGACGGAAACAGAAACAATAGCAAATATATACAGTAAAGCAGTAAAATGCATGGATGCAACAATACAAGCGAGGCAAGGGAGTTCCACTCAACCTCGAACCTAGAAAACAATAGGCAAAAGTGAACAGGATTCACTTTCAACCCAACAGGTTAACAGCAAACAATACAGTCCAGAAAACCAATCAATACATCAGAAATGAACAACAAAAATAAACAGCCACAGCAGCTCTGCATCAACACCTGTCTTCAAGTCATTTCCAAACAGCTACAAGCTTCAGCAAGCATCAATCTCCATCTCCACAGCCTTCAGGCAAGGGATTTGATTATCAGTCTTCCATCATCAATGGCTTTTCTTCAAGTCTCAATCTCCAGGATGAACATCAGTCAACAAGATAAAAGTGAATGTTAAACAGAAGACTGCCTACCAAGGGTGGCTCATCAACTGTTAACATTATACAGACAATTTTCTCTCAAAAGTTCTATCTTTCAAATACATTCACTGATCCTTCCAAAGGAAGGAGGTGGATATTTGAAAGAGACTTTGAATCATAGAGAAAGGATGGATGCAGACAAGGCATTCCATGTTTGAGAAACAAGCTTTCTAATCTAGAGCTCTGCCTAGCTCCTAAACCCTAGGCTCCTCAACAGCTGCCAGCAAAGGAATCTCTTCTTCAACTCTGGAAGTTGGTCTTCAAGCTCTGGATCTCCAATGGCTTCATCATCACCAGTCTTCAGCTCTCCCAATGCCCAAGCAAACCCAATACCCCCACAGACAAGGAAATAACCCTAGAGAGGGCACACCACACAGTCAAACAAATATAGACAGTATACCAATAGCAGTAGGGGAATCCTAACATTTTCTAAGGGATTTAATAACTACCCCTAATCCCTATAGTCCCATACCCCAAAAATTCAATCTCTAACTCCTAAGGGAAATGAACTTACTCACCTATGTTGTCACCTAAACCCTAATTTTGTTCATGTTATTCACATCTAATCAAATCACCTAAAATTAATTCCTAAAAGTATGAACTAAATTTTATATACAAGATACATGTCTAAACTAATCAACCTAAAAAGAATGGATTAAAAATGTTGAAGCATCTATTCAAACTAAAATTACCAAATTCATGTATCAAACAAAATGATATTTACACCTATTTAAAAGAAAAAATATGCCAAAAATATTAAAATAAAATGAAATTGGAATTTTTTTATATGATATTTTTCTTGACAAAATTATGAGTAATATGCAAAAAGAACCAATGAAAAATAATCATTTTCCAATTTTTTTTATGATTTTTGAAAGAATTAATGTTTTTGAGAGAAAATAAAATGAGAATTAATGGAAAGGGGTGCAGGGAGTAGTAAAAATCGGTTAAAACAATGAACTGGGCCCAGACTGGGGGGCGCGCATAGCAAGCGCGTCTGGGCCCATATGCACTCAGAAAATAAACAAAAAATTAAAAAACATAAAACGGTGCAGATAGCGATTATCTCAGGCATAATTGGGATTGGGCCTTCATCTGGGGGTGTTAGTAGCAAGGGGATTCAAATCCCATCAGATATTTTTAAGTGAAACGGTGCGTTGCACCATTTAAACTTCCCTCCGTTTTCTTCTTCAATCGTGGCCGTTGGTTTTAATCTTCAGTCAAGGTCAAAGCTTAGATCGTGTGGCTCCCAGGTCTTCTTCAACCTCCAGCCAACCCTAATGCCTGAAAACCCTAGCCATGCACAAACCTTCCATCCTCTGGTTCTTCCTCGTTTCTCCATGAAAACCAAAAATGTAAACACCAAAATTGCTCCTCTTCTCACGTAGAACACAACTGTATCAATAGTTTTCAACATAACAGCCTAGAATTTCAAACCCGATAGGCATAACAATTCTGATCCACCATTTTCACCTGTGATCAATCCTCCCAATTCTCTCTAATTCTTGCCCTAAACTGATCCATATCTTATGCTGATCATTACAAGCTAATCATTCAAGATTATCATGCAATATACTAATAGTTACAAGCTTCAACAGTTCTTGCACTCCATTAACAACCTTCATGAAAACTCTCCAAACTCACCAAAATCAGTCATCTATCCTACCTTAACCTTTCTATGCCAACAAATCCCTATAATTCTAACTAAAACATGCAATTCGAATAGAAATCCAACCTGGTGTAAGATGAAGAAAGCAGCTATGAAATTCTCTGATCTGAGGCTTGTAATGATTGGAAATGAATCAGGGGACTTGAAGAATTCTGTATGCACTGGATCTTGTTCAATCCCCTTGGATCTTGCAATTCCAAGCTTCTTGCTTCTTGGATGATGGAAGTGTGTGGCACGAGTTCTACTCCAATCTAACCAATATTGATGTGGATTCTGATCTATGGAAAAGGGTGATGATGATCAAATCAACAAATGTGAAAATTGATGAGAGTTTGATGAAGTTTTAGGAGCTTTTGCAAAAATGGAAGATTGGTATGAAACTTGTGTTTTGATCAATATGATTCACCAACCCATGCATGAAGCTCTTCAATACAATATATACATGAGATAAGAAACTCCTAGAAGCTTGGAGAAACTTCCCATGCACTATTTCCCTTGAATTTGATTATGTAACTTCCATTATAAGTAACCATGAATAACTTTCAAAACTTGAACCAAACTCAAAATTCCACTTTAGCCAATGTTCTCAAAATGATTTTTCCAATCAAAATAACCTATAATTTCACCTCATTTGGCCAAAGTATGAAAAATCTCATTTTTTAGGTCATTTTTATTCATTAAATCCACCAATTTTGAAACCTTGTGCTATGAACCTTTCCAATCTTTCATGGTCACTTTTCTAGACTCAAAATGTCATTTGGAGCAAGTTTGATGTTGGGAAGTTTTTCATTTGAAGCTTCCTTGTATGAGTTTTGGGCATAGGCTTGAAAAGACCTGTAATTCTCAGATGACCAAAATACCCTTTGCTTGCCAAGACCATAAGTAGAGTTCCACAAATCATATGAAGGCATACAATGCCATTATAGAAAGCTAAGACAATGAGGAACAACTCTTATGTTGACCAGAAATTCATTTGAAATCTCCTTGAGGGGTAAAAATTGCTTGGAATTCAAGTCATTTTCACAGACAAAATTTCAGATACCTCAGATGACCTGTAACTTGCAAGGACCATAACTTGAGTTCTATAAATCTCCTTAATGTCTTCCACCACTCAAATTAAAGGTCTTGAGATCCTATACAAGTTTCATGTTGGCCAAGGATCCATTTGAAGCTTGAATTTTGACTTATCTTGCTTGGAAATTTGACCTAAACTAGGGGATTTTACACAGAAACCCTAATTTAGAAACTCCTCTTCTCCTTGATTTCTCTTGATTTCTTCTTAGCACAACAACATATCCTTCTTTACATGTCAAATGATGAATCCCACATCTCTCCAATAGACCTCAATGCCTTTCAATCAATTAATTGACCTAGAGTTGACCCAGGGTTGACCCAGATGAAACCCTAGTTGACTGTCTTTAACTGCAATGCTTGTGATCACACCAATGACTTGTCTCCTTCTCCAAATGACTTTCTAAGTCTCCCATGATGTCCACATACTCTCCATGCTCAGTCCACAACTCACAACCTCTTTGATGATCCCCAGATACCCTCAGCTAGGAGATAGATGCATTGCTTGATCCATTGACCTCCTAGCTTTCAAATTCTCTCTGATGACTTGAATAAGATTGAATTTGAATAATAACCTCTTGATAGGCTCATAGAGATAGGAATAATGATTGGTCCCTGTTGGATGATTTGTTATGCTATGCTATGCAGATGGTTTGGCTATATACATGACTCTATATGCAAATGCTAGTGATATTGAAACATAAACCAAGTGAATAAGGTTGGGCAAATTTTAGGGTGCAACACCTTCTCTAAAATTTTTCACGCTTGCTTTGACGATTCACAGTCACCAAGTTTCTCAAAGTTATCACCATTGATGGATTAAAAACAGCGATTTGAAATCTTTCTTCTTCTCTTCCTTATGCATTGCTTGTTGTACAACTGTTGCATCTTCAACAAGAGGATTCACCCCGTTCTTGATCACTTCAAGAACATCTTGGTAGGCAAATAACACTTTCATTTGCTTGCACCATTTGTAGTAATTCTTTGCATCAAGGATGGGTAGGTTTGCATGAATTCTTTCATTGGAAACAAAATTCATGTTGCACACTAGGTGTTTGTGGATCAAAACCATGCTCTTGATGTCAAATGTTTGAACTTTGAACCACAAGAATGGTGAAGAATGATGAAGAAAAATGAAATGTAGAATGTGATAGAGAAAAATGTGTGTGTGTGTGTGTGTGTGTGTGTGTGAGAGAGAGAGAGAGAGAGAGAGAGAAGAGAGAGAGAGCATTGAAGGTGAGAATGATAATTGTGTCAACCGAAAATGAGAATGTTTTCAAGGCATTTATATAAGTGTCACAAAATGATTGAGACCTAAAACATACAAATACCTAATTGAAAAATACAAAAATACAAAAAACTCTTGTCTGTAACCAATTACAGCTACTACGAAGATAAAATATTTTCAATGATAACCGATTAATATCATGTGTTAACCGATTACAACTTCAAAACTTTCATTTTTTCTTTCGTCTATAAATACTTTTACTGTTATAGTAAATTATTAAAATCACTTTTATCAATGATGACTAGATAAATCAAAATTAATATTTTAATTAGTATATATTCACTAAACATGTCTAAATTTATCAACTTAAATTACTACGAAACTAATATTGCAAGTTAACAATTTGTATGCAATTCTATTAAAGCAATTAAAAAGGAGCACGTCAATCATAGGTCTTATTTACAATAAATAGCATGACTCATAAGGCCTTGCTATTATTTATAATATGTATGACCTGCGTAATAAACACGGAATAATAACTAGGCAGGAAGTTAGTAAGTAATCACTTTTTAATAAGGAGTTTTTGAAGGTCTTTCTCAATTGAATATTTGGGGGCTGATGCATCAGCATCCCAAACAAAAACTCCAGCTAGCGATGCACGGTTAATGAGGATTGTGCATGCATCAACAAAGAAACTCGGACTCATCGTAGCTGAAGTACTCATTTCGGTGCTGACTCCTGCCAAAAGTTTATAGGCTGCATCGTAATCAGTAACTAGTTGATTAAAGAGATCTACAAAGTCATCTGTTGATTTAAAAGACTGATTGTAGAACTTGTAGTCAATCAAATCAATATTGTCTTTGTTGTCTAGATACAGTTTGAGGTAGTGGGGTTGGAGAAGCTCTGTTGGAGCTGTTGGTGCAAAGATAGAATAAATGATGAAAATAGGGAAATATTCTATTAAAGAGAATGACGGCAGAAGAAAACAGGATATTTGGTTACAATGATTGTCACCCTATTTATAGGCTAAAACTAGGGTTACTAGAATAAGATAAAATACTAAAATACCCTCTAACAAACTTATGGACTTAAGAAAATAATATAATAAAATATGAATTATTACTAATACCATCCCTTAATTCATATTCCATCAAAACTTGTAACACCAATTCCATCCCTTAATCTGAGAAATTGACCAGTCTTGATGGCTTTCGTCAGAACATCTGCCAACTGCTTCTGAGTGCTGCAGTGTACAACTTCTAACACTCCACTCTGAACTTGATGTCTCAGAAAATGATACTTGGTCTCAATATGCTTGCTTCTCCCATGCAGCACTGGGTTTCTGGCAAGGTTGATTGCAGACTTGTTGTCAATCATCAACTTCAGAGGTTTGTCTACCTTAATCTTCAGATCCTGCAGCAGATTCAGAATCCACACAGCTTGGCATGCAGTAACAGCACCTGCAATGTATTCAGCTTCACAAGTTGACAACGCCACAACAGGTTGCTTCTTGGAACACCAAGAAATGGGACCTCCCAGAAATTTGAACAAGTACCCAGATGTACTTCTTCTGTCAACTCTGTCTCCACACCAATCCGAGTCTGAATAACTCAGAAGTTCTGACTCATTATTTCCTCCAGAGGGAAATAACACTCCATACTTCAGAGTTCCTTTGATATACCTCAGAATCCTGACAGCAGCTTGGTAATGGGACCACTTAGGTTTACTCATGAACCTACTAACCATCCCAACTGAGTAGCAAATATCAGGTCTGGTATTGCACAAATACCTCAGAGAACCAACCAACTGTTTGAAGGTTGTAGCATCCACATCCTTTCCTTCAGAGTCTGAATCCAGTTTCTGATTTGTATCAGAAGGTGTGACAGCCATCTTACAATTCTTCAGATCAAATCTCTTCAGAAGTTCTAATTCATACTTGAGCTGATGCAAAATGATACCTTTCTCAAAATATCTGAACTCCATCCCTAGAAAGTATGTCATTTTGCCTAGATCAGTCATTTCAAATTCATTCATTAGAACCTTCTTGAACTTGGCTATCTCCTGTTCAGAACTTCCAGTCAATAGTATATCATCAACATATAAACATACCAGAGTCATATTGCCTTCAGAAGTATGCTGAACATAGACACCGTACTCCATCTCACATTTCTGAAAGCCTTGCTTCTTGAAAAATGAATCAATCTTCTGATTCCAAGCTCTGGGCGCTTGTTTCAGTCCATATAGAGCTTTGTATAATCTGTACACCATCCCTTCCTGATTCTTTTTCACAAATCCAGGAGGTTGTGACACGTAAACTTCTTCTTCTAATGGACCATTCAGAAATGCAGATTTTACATCTAAATGCATCAGAGGCCAATTCCTGTTAGCAGCTATTGCAATCACCATTCTGATTGTTTCATGTCTTGCTACAGGTGCAAACACTTCAGAGTAATCCAGCCCAGGTTTCTGTAGAAATCCTCTTGCTACCAACCTTGCTTTATGTTTGCCAATTGAACCATCTGGCTTTAACTTCTGCTTGAAAACCCATCTGACGCTGATGGCTTTCTTGTCTTTTGGAAGTTCTGTCAGCTTCCAAGTCTTGTTTCTCTCTATAGCATCAAGTTCTTCTTTCATGGCCTTCAGCCAGAGCTTCTTGAATTCATCAAACACCTCGTGTTTAAACTTAATAAGGGATACCCATGTCATTCTTGTGAATTCATCAACAAACAACACAAAGTATTTATTCCCTCCAATTGATGCTACTGGAAATGGACCACACACATCAGAGTGTACAACTTCCAAGGCATGTTTTGCTCTTGGAGCAACTTCTGATGCAAATGGCAATCTTGATTGTTTTCCTTCCATGCAAACTTTGCATGACTTTTTAGGCTTCTTAATTGCAGGAATTCCATGTACCAATTTCTTTGAATTCAGATGTTGTAAGCTTCTGAAATTCAAATGACCAAATCTTCTGTGCCACAGCTCACTCTCCTTCTCAGTACTTGTTGCACTAAGACACTCTGAGTCTGCAGTTCTGACATTCACCTTGAATGTTCTATTCCTTCCCTGTTCTGACTCCATAATCAACTTCTGATTACAGTCATACAGCTTCAGAAGATTGTCCTTCATGGTAACTGAGAAACCTTTCTCAATTAATTGTCCCACACTCATCAGATTGCTTCTGATGCCAGGTACATACCACACATTCTGAATCAATGCTATTTTCCCATTGTTCAGAGTCACTCTGACATTTCCCATACCTTCTGCATTAAGATATTTGTCATCAGCACATCTGATCTTTGTTCTCTTTTCAGAGTCAAAGTCAACCAGCCATTTCTTGTTTCCAGTAAGATGATTTGAACAACCAGTGTCCATATACCACCAGTCTGTCAGATCATCAGATTCAGAGGCCATCAATAGCACAGATTCGTCATCAGAACTTCTGGCTATATTTGCTTCTTCTGATTTCTTCTCCTTGTTTGACCAACAATCTCTAGCAAAGTGACCAAACTTCTTACAACAGTAACATTGGATCTTCTTCTTGTCATACTTCTCTTTTCCCTTCTGAGCATTCTTTTGTCTATCAGAGGTTGAGGTTTCTGACTTCTGACCACCATCAGATCTTCTCTTGGCTTCTGACTGCTTCTGATACCTCCTATCAGAAGTTGCTTTCAGAGCCTGCTGCTCTACTTCCCTTTCAGAAGTTCTCTCAGTCAAACGCAACTCTTGCGCTTCTAGACTGCTCTGCAGCTCTTCAATTCTCATGGTGCTCAGATCTTTGGAATGTTCTATTGCTACCACAATGTAATCAAATTGAGGAGTAAGGGATCTCAATACCTTCTCCATGATTGTTTCTTCAGAAAGAGTTTCTCCACACGCCTTCATCTCATTAGTGATCAGAATCACTCTGGAGATGTATTCAGAAACTTTCTCATTATTCTTCATGTTGAGATTCTCATATTGCTTTCTCAAGGACTGAAGCTTCACCTTCTTCACTGATGTGTCACCACCATAACATCTCACCAGAGTGTCCCATGCAGCCTTTGCTGTTGTAGAGTCTGCAATCTTCTCAAACACGTTTACATCCACACATTGATGAATGAAGAACAATGCTTTCTGATCCTTCTTCCTTACTTCCTTCTGCGCGTTTTTCTGTTCATCGGTTGCATCTGCTGCTACTGGAACATAACCATCAGTGACAAGATCTAGAACATCTTGAGCACCAAATAGTACACGCATTTGGATCATCCAACGATTCCAGTTTTTACCATCAAATACTGGAAGTTTGGTGTTCATGTTGCCGTTTTCGTTCATCTTCTACTTTGCACAATACACTCAGAGTTTTCTCACACAGTGTTTCCCAACCCACAGAATTTAAAAAATTCTGATCAGATTTTGTTCAAGATTCAACAAGAATCTGAGAAACAAAATCAAACACACAAGACCTCACGTTCACTCGTGTTTCCCGTGTTTCCCAATGAATCTGAACCGGAGCTCTAGATACCAATTGTTGGTGCAAAGATAGAATAAATGATGAAAATAGGGAAATATTCTATTAAAGAGAATGACGGCAGAAGAAAACAGGATATTTGGTTACAATGATTGTCACCCTATTTATAGGCTAAAACTAGGGTTACTAGAATAAGATAAAATACTAAAATACCCTCTAACAAACTTATGGACTTAAGAAAATAATATAATAAAATATGAATTATTACTAATAGGAGCAATAGACACCACACTCATGGATTTGGAAACATCTGGATCATCCTTGAGTTGTTGTATTACCAGTCCTATGCAGTTGGAAAAGTCGTTGATACTGGAAGTTATGTATTCATAGTTAATGTCAATACCGTCAATTATGTTTTCATCGGTCATTACTTCGTTCTCATAGTCAAGGATGAGCTCTTTGATTGACGATTTGGCTTTCTTAATCCATTCATTTTTGTTTATCGGGTCGAATTTATAGCCAATGTCATGACTTCCTATGCTTATCATCACTTTCACATTTTTATTCTCTTTCTTGAGTTTCGCCACCTTTGTTGGGCTAAAGTAATTAAAGTTCCAATAGCGCTTGAATGCACCAGTGCCGTTTCCATCAACATGAGTCTCTCTGGCAAAGCCCAGAAGGAAGTGGAATTCTGCGATGTTTCTGTTGATCATCTCAGGTGGAAAATAATTTATGCTTTTTGGGACAATATCTTTCGCTCCAATGTACTCTCGGAAAATGGTAGGCCTCACAACTGCTTTGATTTGGTTGTGACATTGTGAAATTAATTGTATTTTGCAATGAGATTTAATTGCTGGGGGTTGTAATGACCAACTTCTGAGGCATTTTTATAAGCCTATGAGTCATATTTTTTATAAAGGTTTTATTTATTAGTCTTCTTAATGTAATGCTCTTTTATCGCTATGCGATTAAAACTAGTAGTATTAAATAACACGACTAGACAATATTCTAACAATGACATATTCTAAGACGTGTATTCCAAATACTTCAAAATAAAGTATGCATACACTTGCCTAGTCTTTTAATTAACTTTTCTTTTTAGACAAAGTTATTCTAATTGATTAAGTTAAAAGGAAACTTCACCAATTTAAAAATTACTATATATGTCATGCTTCCCTTATAAATGTTCACACTATGGTTGTTAGGATTCATAAAATATAAAAAATTTAGATTTAATAGGTAAAAGTTATAGTAGAAGTTTTTTTCTTTTAAAAAGCATGTAAAAATAACAAACTTCAAGCTCTTTAATAAAAAAAACTAGAATCCCATAAAATAAGATTTTATTTATGGAATATTGTTTTATTTAATATACTTAATTTATATCTGACATATAAATGAGCAAATATACGCAGTAGAAAAATTATGATAAATATATTTTACTCTTTTAGCCTCAACTGAAACTCAAATTTTTGTAGATTTTTTTGATACGTAAACATGTTCTTTATGTTCAACAGTATTAAAAAATTTAATTATTTTTTAAAAGAAATATGTATATAGTTATATAGTATGATTCATATTGTTGTAGGATAAGTTTTGAAAAAGATTATCATAAAGAATATTGTTTTTAAACTCTTTTTAAAAATTATTTTAATCGTAACAAATTCAAAATAATGACATGAAATTGTAGAATCTGGGTCTTGAATATTTTGTTACATCATTTATAAAAATCATTATCGAAACTATTTATATATTTTTTACACTCTATATAAATTTTTCTTGCGTATTAATTGTCTAAATTGTCATATAACGGTATAGAATATTTGTTTATATATGATTATATGAATATGTAGTGAAAATAATTGTGGTTATGGTGTGGTAATTAAAAAGTTAACCTATTATTATTTATATACAATAATTTGCTTCTATATATTTTTCTATGCCTATAGCGCATGTCTTTCTTATGCCTATAGTTTTTAAAAGTTTAAATGAGTATTCTCTAAAATGATTAACAAATGAATCTTAATTATAAATTATAATGTAATTGAAATCTAATTGACATAATAATAAATTAATACTCTGCAACGGTTAACAAATGTCTATTATATTTAAATTACATAGCAATTAATATTCAATAAACTTTTCATTATAATATAATTGAATTAACCGATTATTTAATATGAATATAGGCAATAACAATTATACAACAATTGAAATATAGTATGAAATAAATATTCATATCATGTTAATAATTAATATTTATACGGGCTTATATATAAATAATATATATTTTTAATTTGGAATAAGGATCTTTATAAATAATATAATATATTACAATGTTAATATTAATGATTAAAGGAAAATGTATAGTTTCAAAGATAATTATAATTCAACTTTTTGTTAAATTTTTATTGGTAATAAATATTTATTTTTAGTTCACAAATGAAATAGATGATATTTTATTGTCATTAGAAAATAAATGGTTGTGAGTTTGATGAACCTTTATTATTAAGTAATAGTTTTTTTCTAAAAAAAGTTAAATTACAAATAGACACAATTAAGCAAAAGTTTAAGGTGATTGAATTTAATTAGTTAAATTGTATGAATTATGTGTTATAATGAATCTTAAATTTACAATAAAATTTTGTTATTATATTGATCACAATGTGATTAACCGAAGTCCATCAATTCACGTAATTAACTGAAGCCCATCAATTCATCGGTTTTATTTTTTGTTATTGTTTCATGTGATATACACTTTTTTTAAAAATGGTTTAAATAATAATAATAATAATAATAATAATAATAATATAATAATAATAATAATAATAATAATAATAATAATAATAATAATAATAATAATAATAATAATATTAACAATAATAATAATAATAATAATAATAATAATAATAATAATAATAATAATAATAATAATAATAATAATAATAATAATAATAATAATAATAGATGTTTTTATTAAATTATTTTTAAAAATAAAATATTTTATTTGTTAACAATATATTATGGGTTATTAATATATGGGATATAGTATTATAGGTATTTTATTAATGATCAGAAGAAATAAAATAGTATATTTATTATTCATATGCATTTTTCAATTTTCAGTAATCATTTTAATATTACAAAATTTAAAAATTTATTATTTTTATTATTGAATTTAATTGGAAAAAACTTTAAATATAGTTTATTATAAATATTTTATCAAGATTAGTTTTTTTAATGATTAAATAATTTTTTTTACAATGATTTATGACCTTTTTGTCTTAAAAATAGTTGATCCTTTTTTTATTAGTTTTACATAAATCAAATTTTTTATTGAGTGTGTTGAATATGTATATGACGCCGTTGTATATGCTGATTTTTATACATTGATTATTATGAATCGTTTTAGTCGTGGACGCTGTCGAGGATATTTTTGAAATCTTTGAGTTGTTAGCCTTTTGGTTAACTTAGAGGGTCTTGCTCTGATATGTAACATCGGGTTGGGGTTATGTTTTATTTGAGTTTATTTTGATTATCTTACCGTATGATGAAAACATTGATTTATGCCTTTTGAGTTCCGCTGCTTTGTGCAATTCGATGTATTTTGGTAAAACCCGTTGCATAAGGAGGCGTTGACCTATTTTGTTGATTTGGGGAATGTACGCCCTTTTGGGTGGCTTTTTGTTGAAATTTAATAATTACTCTGATATCTATCTGTGTTATTTTGCCATAATATTTGTGGGGTAGAAAAGGGTGTTACATTAGTGGTATTAGAGTCAGACCCTCCCAGTACGATGTGGTTCGGAGACGAACCAAGCGAAAGCTGGTGGACATGTAACACCCGAGGTCGAATAGGACATAGAGTGGTTACATGTAACACCCAAGGGCGAGAGAGTGGTTGTCTGTGCAAGAGGCATGACAATGAGACACTCCTAGCAGCTTCTAGGAGAAAACCGAATTCACATTGGAATGAGAGGGATCCTGAGGTTGTTCATGTATGAGGTTGTGCAGGTATGAGACGATGTAATACCCCAAATTTTTCCCTAAGATTTGGCGTTTCATCTTGCATCCCATTTCATTTTGCATTGCGTTTAAACTAACCACTAACGGGTTGTGCAGTTGTTTGATTGTTGCAAGTATAGTTTTAAAAACCGGACCGGACCGACCGGTCCGACCGGGAACCGGTCAAGTGCCCGGTTTGAGTCACTAGTTAGATCGGATATGTCATCAACCCGGTAAAAACCGGAGAAAACCGGGTTGGACCGGTAAAACGCGGTTTGATGGTTGGACCGGTTATAATGTATTTTTATTTTTTAATTAAAATTTATATTCAAAAGTTATAAAAATTAAAAAAATAAAATTTCCAGTCTTTCTCTTTCTCCACGACCGAGCTTCATTTCGTCTTTCTTTCTCCACGACCGAGTCTTCGTTTCGTCTTTCTTTCTCCACCACCGTGCAAGTTCGTTCTCTCCACCGCAATATACCAACGCCTCTCCATTTCCAGGTTCAATGCTGCTATCTGTTTTCATTTAACTTTGTTCCGTTGAAATTAGGGTTCAATGCTCCTCTCTGTTTTCATTAACTTGTTGAAGATTAAATTAGGGTTCAATGATCCTTTACATGTTTGATATTAATCTTCTGATGAAATTGTTCTGTTGAATTGATTTCGTATGAACCCAAATAGAGTTTTACATTATATGCCCATGTGTTTGATGAAATGTCTCTGTGAATTTTGGTATCAAAAATTGTGCTTAACTTTAAAAATTGTGTAAAATTGCTGAAATTGTTCTTGCTGTAATTATTCTTGGTATAATTGGCACTGCATTTTGCTGGTGTAATTGCTCTTGCTGTAATGCATATTGCTGAAATTTTGTATGGCATATTGCTGAAATTTTGTCACAGTATGCTATATTAATTTTGTCTCCAACACTACAGAATGCTATATTAATTTTGAATAAAAAAGTTTACAGAGCAATTACATATGCTAGTGAGATTCCATTCCATATGCTTGTTAGGAATTGGGTTTATGAAACAAGTTTACAGAGCATATCGAATAAAAAAGGTTTATAAATTCATTCTTCTTGTTCTGTAATTATATAACTTTCAAAAGTCTTAGGTATAACAAAAGAGGAGCAGGTAGATGGTATGAAGATAATTGAAACAAGTTACTAACATATTAGTAAACAATAATAGTGAAGTTTGATATATGGATAATGTCGCTACTGCGAAAATCGGCGTCGGCTGAACATAAGAGTCGCCACCGTGCGTTATTTATCCCAACGGAGGGAAAGGAAACGCTCGAAGTAAACCTACCGCAAAGACGGGAAAGGAATGGTCATCGCAACCAAATCCTGGATTCGGAAGTCGGTTACGCAAGGGGAAGGTATTAGCACCCCTCACGTCCGTCGTACTCGACGGGATCCACGCTTGTTTTCTGGTACGGATTGTTATTCTATCTATTCTACAGGTCTGAGGTTAAAAGAAAAGAAAATGACTCGGCAAAGTATCGCACTTTATGCCTACGTATTCCCGTCTGGAATGAGAAATCAGAGTCAACGTAGTTCGCCTACCTACGGGAAAGGAGGGGAAGGTTGCTCGCTAGGATATCGCATCCTATGCCTACGTACTTTCATACAGCATGAAAGATCAGAGCAAACGTAGTTCGGGCCACGTACGACACAAGTCTGTCTTGATTGTTTTTATCTCTTTCTGA